ATTGAGCGAGGGAAACGGAAAAATGTCACATCGATAGAGATATAATGTAACTTTCCCACGATCCAGTCATCCATTCCCTTTCGCTCAGCCCATGCATCAAAATGGTAATCGCGTGTTCTCACCCTCAGTCCTTAATCCCCTTCGTCTTCTTCCGCGTCTCTCTGTGGCCGGAACGTCTGTAGCAAAAAAGAACTTGCTTCAGCGCTTGCTTACTTATCCAGCCAATGCTCAGGCCCTGTACTTGAAATTCGGACTTCTGCGACGTCCATACCTTACTTTACCGCATGTGTTCTCTATTCAATTTAAGTCACATTTTCCCTACTTTCTTGCCTGGGAAAGCGATCGCATTATCACACCTCGTTGTTTCACCGTAAGCGATTCATTTTATTTTTCTGCTGACATTTGTTTCCTTTGTGCGGATTTCTTAATCGCATGCGAAGGGAAAGATTTCCGGCAAATCGAATGACCAAGGCATTATCTAATCAATCGACAAGGGGGAGAAAGGGGGGAGAGGGGACAAGGGGAACCAGGGGAGCGTGTGTTCCGGAGCTGTATCTGGCATGCGTATATGTTCTGGGCCTTTGTTCGTTTGCTCTAGGAGTCTTGCGACGTTACGAAGTGATTCTGACGCAATATCTTTTTCTCTTATTATTGCAGTTGCACATCCACCTGAATCTGAGATGTTTTGTGACAAGTAAAACCTATAAACTATGATATATGATCTTCTAAACGATTTGACACTTGTTGCTTGGATTGTATCGGGCAACCCCAACAACTATAAGTCTAAGCCGGATGAGTGGATCCCCTGCGGTGAATGCTAACATCGCCCTTACAGGTTTCCTATAACCAGTGGTTTCCTTAGGTGATTCATTGACTTATTTTCCTTGCGTATGCACGATGCATGGCACCTCGCCTTAGCACGCAACTTCTTAATGCGAAGGGTGTCTGAAAAGTTTTCGGAAACATATAATTAAAAAAAACTAGACCATGATTTTCATCGCTACCAAAATCGGTTCAGGCTTAGCTTAGCGTGCTGGCTCCGGTCCGGTCCCACATTGTTGCTGGATATCATGTCGAAGTTATGCCGGATTCATGACTGCTTCGGCCTTCATATCGGTGTCTGGATCTTCTGTTTTTTTAATGCATGGGACATTTTTGTGCTGAGTTCATGAGATGAGCTGAGAATGAAACCGTGGTTAGCAGTGGCCGATCGATGTAGTGGGGTAGTGGGATATGAAGACATCTTATCAAAACATCCCTGAATTAACAAGATGACCTGCACCATGCATTTCACGCTTCCTGGAAGCATTCGCTTCTCAGATCTAGTCGAGATGGTTCGAGGAACTCCAGATAAGCCTAACTTCCCGCGTCCGCACTGAAATGGTACATGAAACTCGAAACAGGTCTCTAATCGGTCTTGCGTTACAGATCCTCTCTGAAATGGTTCGTGAAAGTATGAATGGGCCTGCGATTGCCCTAATATTACACGTCCTCAACACGGTATCTCGGAGACCACGTATTGACTCATTGGCCCAATTTTAAGTCGAAAATTGAGTTTCTTTTGGGAAAGAAAAGGTAGGCCTTGATATGACCTGAAGGCAGTCCTTCGGTTAGGCCAAGGCCTAACGTTTGTGAGTCTCGTAAAGAAGGATGGATGAGTTGAAGTAAGGGAAAGCCTTTTATGATAAGAGTGGTTTTCACATTACTTCATTTTCCTCTGCACAAGGGTGCTGAGGGTGATAACGGAACTTTCATCTTTTTACAGGTCATCCACGATCTCTGCCATCCCTTACAACTCACAAAAATATTCCGAGTCCAGACGATTGCCAGTGCATGCCCGAACTGCAAAGAGAGACCCTGCCTCGCAATGCAAGCATCCTCCTCTTCCCGCGCCTGACGAGAACATTCTGGTTCGCAGCCCTCTTGTGATTAGTCGCTCGTGATTGACTGGACCTTGTAGACCGAGCGAGCATGACGTCGATAAGGAAAGGTCTGGGTTCTCATTTTTTCGGCATTCATTTGAGTCCTCTCCTGACCCATTTTAGACATTAAATGATGCATTTGAAGACTGTTAACGGATCTAGACAAGTTCAGCGATAAGCAGCCTGTTACTCTGTTGGCAAGTACATCATAATTTAAGCAAGAAAAGTCTCTCGTAAAAGATAGTAGCTGGTGGTCGAAAAGATTTTTCTTTTTCATGGGGTGTGCTTATCACCTAAGTTCTATCTCTGAACCTCTGGATATATTCTGTCAATAATGTCACTCGTTATTATTCAGAGATTCATCTAATAGCGTCAGTTTTCAGTAAATAAATTAGTAATGTGTCTGGGGAAGGTCTGATAGACGAGACACGACCATGAAGTTTTGTGGCTCTTTTATCTTCCCACGATCATGATGGATAGGTTTAGATAATAATCTGATAATGTATAGAGTTGATCGAGGGATACCTATGAGAATCATTCGTCTTCATCCAATCCGAAAATGGATCTCGGCGCAATCAGCCCCATCTTCTTCATAATTAACAGGATCCAAGAAGGTGATTAAACGACCTTTCTTCTCCATCCCGCCAGTCGCCCCCGAAGTTGCCCGAAGATTCAACCATCAAAATGTCGTGGAGGGTGAGTCCGTGCTTCTTCATCAGCCTTGTCGTGCTTTCGGTTTGAGTCTTGCTATTTGCATAAGGTGAAGAATTTTCTTTGGACCTAGTCACGGGGCTACTTATTGTACCAATTGATTGACCCTATTGATCATACGGCCGTTAGCAAATCAATGCAGAACATTTTTTTTTCATTCTCTTGCAATCGTCTCACTTAAAAGGAATTTAAATGTCAGTATTCAAATCTCAGGTTGCATTGCAGACCTATTCCTGCTTTTCTTTTCCTTTTTATTTTTTACATCTCAACCTGTTTTGGGTAAAGGTATCACATTACCTCTGGGTCAATCATGTTTCAAATTCTCTAGTCCTTCCAGGAATTTTTTTTTCTTGATACTGTAGCAATCTTGAACTTCACAACGCTTCACGTGTCTAATGAGAACAAGAGAAATAATTACCATCAAATCCCACTTTCTTCGTCCTGGACTCGATAAAACGCGTTACCATTCGAATTTTCTTTGTTGAAAGGTTCCTGTGACGACATTGAATGCCCGATTGACTCCGGATGTGCACCGTTGGGAAGAGACAAATACCTATCTTGCCGTTGCTTTTACGGAAATCAGAGGGAGCCAGACCGTGACCTGCCCTGTCCCACGCATCTCGCCTGTATGTTCTGGCTTTCATCGTCATTTCTGTATTAGAAGAAAGAAAATCAAGAAGTGCCCCCGGGAATGTGTTACATTTTAAATTAAAAGTTGGAGTAGGGTGGCTAATGTGATCCTTTCTCGTTCCAAAGCTTATAGACCCAGACGTCGCTCAGATGCCCATCCACGTTAAATACGGATCATGAGACTTCTACAGTTGAAAACTTTTCTTTTTCCTGCTGCACCGGAGCATCGAGCAATTGATATGGATGGATGCTATTGATTTTTATTGTATCGACATCACCGACCCATATATCGCCTGGTACCGCGATATCGGCAGGGTTCAACTGTGTGGGGTTGGTACAGGTATGAAGGCGCATTTATTTCTGGAAAAAAAACACACTTCATTTTGGTAATGGATTCTGACATGGTGGAATTAAAGCGCTTGAATGCATCCCATCATATCTCGTATATCGCACTTCAATATCAGGAAGGAGAACGTATCAACGTTTCCTGCTGCAAGGCATGCACGATATTATTTTTTCCAAAAAAAATCCAAATTTTGAGATGAGTCGCTCGCATGGGACGTGAGTTCCAGGAATTCGGGGGATTTGTGAATGTGAGAGGCAAGCGACGGATATCTCCTTCCGTTATCATTCCACCTAATTCGTGGATCATCGATCTCCATTTCTCCACTTTTGTCATTGATGTAAGGTCACATTTCCTCCTGCGGTTTTGCTTTCTGCCGATTCATAGCTGGTTTACGAAAGTCTTATTTCCCTCGCACGCCGTTTGAGGCCTTGATGGACTCGAAGGTAGATTTGAAATGCCCTCATGAAAGAGTCACGAATTTTGGAATTGGAATTTCTCCCTTGCAATAAAGGCATAAATACTTTTTCATATTCCGGGTGGATTCTGCATCCATCACGAGAATAAAATCTAAACGCATTCAACAGACTTACCATAAGGGTAAGGTATGAGCTTCCAGTCAGACTTACCAGTCTTCTCCATCCACAGTGCCAAAGTATTGCACTGTACTCACAAAAATTGACCTTGATTTGATCGTGCTCAGGCAAACTGAAGCCTAGTGCTAGTTTCCGCCATTCACTTAAAGAAAATTTCCCTAGAAAAGAAATCATCAAGAGAGGATTGCAATCTGAAGATTATCCCCTACCTCCCTCCCTCATCTCATCCGTTTTTGTGAAGATTAACAGTTAATCCCTTCAGGACAATCCTGAGCCCTTATAGTTCTGAAATAAAATCGAATGGCGCAGTTCGTGAACTCTGTAATCGGCACAGCCCTAATAATGAATAGACCTGACCAATAATTTCAGCCCAAACTCAAAAAAATAAAGAAATATGAGCTCGAAGTGTCTCTTGGTTTGATACGTTATTCATCATCGACCCTTAAATGACGCCAGTGCCATGCCATTGCTATGGTGATGGTGTGGGAAACATGGTGCGCGACGGGGTTGGAGGAGGGCGAAATCCCTCATCCTGCCGTCAGTTAGGGCTGTTTACAACTATCATACTATCACGATATCGTCAGATACTGTTATCGGCGATTTCATTTCCCGCATACGCAATTACTGCATGCAAGGCTGACTACAGAAGAAAAAGTAGCGCCATTAGCGCAGGAAAGCCACACATGGAAGCTTTCATCGAAGCATGGTGAATCTCGGAATTACGTAGTCCACATATAAAGTCTTGATGGAGGAAAACCAAAATGGGAAGGCTTCACTGAAGTGCATCGCCCCCGCGCCATGGGACGTATGGGGCGCAAGAAAGCCATTCCAACTCTCAAGATGCCAAATTTCAAATTCCCAAATTTCAGCACGAACGGTTCTCGAGATATGCTGCCCCAAAGTTAGACCCCGGGGGAAAAAGTGACCCCACGGGTCAAACGGTTTTCTTCCTCCTAAGTGAGCTAGAAAGGTGTCGCTGGGTTCGAATGAAAGTTAAGACAAAGCTTACACGAACAGTATTTCATTAAGGCGCATTTCCTTATCTTAGTTGCTATGAGTTATGAATCTTCAAAACTTTGACATTTTTCTCAATATCACATTAAAGTTTCGAACAGTGGGAAGCACGTTGACACAATGAGCTTTTCCGAAATTGCTTGTCTAACTAATAATTATGAAAATCACCCATTTTTTTCTACTTACTTTCTTTCAAACAATAGCATATAAAATTTGAAAAGTCCAAAAAAGGCCATTTTCGCTCACTTTGATGGCTTATATCAACAGCTTCAAACAAGATATAAACAAGTTTCACATAGAAGCTCGCTCTAAGCTCTTTCCGGAGATGCATGACTTTCATTGTTACTTGGAATTTTCAAGTTTATATTACTTTTTTTTACCCCGTAAATTTTCCAATTTTTCCCCTTGAAATATTTCACCCAACTTTCTAACAATTAGAATCTTGGTAACCACTGAGTATGGATATATTTCAGCAGAAACATATAAACAGATCTTATGACACTCTGTCCTTTGCTTCAAACATCAGCGAATTAAAATTTGAAAAGTCAAATTTTGCTTTCGAATGCATTTTCCGACAGCCACTCTAATAATATCCTAAATAGGATATAATCCAGACAATCGCAAGATCGCCGGTTTGTGTAAGCTTTTCTTTAGTATTATGATTGATGTTCTTGATAGAAAGTCCCTTCTCCCTTCAGCCGTGGTGAACCGGACAGTACCTATCCCCATGGACGACATCAAGAAGCATTTGTTCGGGAAGGAAGACACAAATACGGCTACGGATCGCAACGATCGAGTGAGTTGATGCACACGATGGAATCCTTGCTCCGAATGAGATCGTCCCAGTTGTGAAAGATCCTTCTCTCTCTCGGCTCTGTCGAAGTTTGAAACGGGCCAGCAGACGGCAATTGTGGTCATGTCCGTGGTGGGAGGAATCATGCTCTTTGGCTTCGGCCTCCTCTGGTGGAGGATCCGGCGCCATCGTCTCCGGAACTCCGTGAAGGTCTCCCAGACGCTCGAGGTTCGTCTTCTCCTGGTAAACTTCTTTGTATGCATCGACGCGAGAAGCACATCTCCACTTTTCAGTTCTTAGCCTTTTTTCGGTGCTATCACCTTTTGAAGACCCAAGATGTTTGAAGACCAATAGTGAGAAACTTCTGCTATCTAGTCTGAGAAATGGAAAAAGCACATAAATTACCAGCGTTTTTCGCATTCCCAAGCTTTCCATTTCTTTTGTGAGTTTCCTTAACTTCCAAAGTAAGGAGCTTATCGACCGACGGTTTGAGGGCATTATGTTCTTCGAAACACAGCCTGGAAGTCTCGGCAAGACAAAGCTGCTGTACGGTGGCCATTCACTCTCCAGATATTCCTTGAGAGAATCCGAAGACGGATCCTTTCATCATGCCTTCCCCGATCTCTTAATTTTTCTTTCCATATTTTTCTTTCCTTGCTCGTGAGGAAAGTGTATCCGATGAACGCAAAGGAAACTTCGCTGCTAGAGAGAGAAAAAACATCCCTATCGGAAATGGAATGGGGAAAGTGAAAGAGCTCCAGACATTTACCAACTAAAGAGACAGTAAAGTAATTATCTGCCAGCCTATACAAGAGCAAAGTCAAGATGTTCCAGGACTGGATTTTTTTTATGACGCTGTAGTGGCTCTTTCCGACTTCTGATGCCCATATCCTTCGAAAGAGTCCTCTCCGGCATCTACACAATTTTTTCGCTGTTTCTTCAGTCACCGCAAGCATCGCTGACACTCGTCTTTTGGAATCGTCTTTGGAAAAAGGGACAAAATAAAGCACGAAAAGGAATATTGTTAATAAGGAATCAGTGCCCCGATGATATTTTGCCGCATTAAATCAAAGTCACTGGAAGAAGGTATAAACTCTTCGACTTCTCGCACAACAAAACCCCTAGAAATCTATTGGCGTTGACGCGCTAATAACGGTGTTAATAATACATCGGAGATGGTCACTACTCTGAAATTCCAAGGGAATCGTGGTTTAGTCTCATGCAGCTTCAGCAGGGCCGGATTAAGAAGTTGCGAGGCCCGGGGCAAGTGAATTCCTGGGCTCCCCACCCCCCCACTACTTTACGCAAATGCAATACTTTTTTAACTTAACGCTTTTAATTTCCTATGGGGGCCCCCTGGAAGAGTGGGGCCCGGGGCAACTGCCCCCTTTGCCCCCCCCCCCCTTAATCCGGCCCTGAGCTTCAGGTACCTTTGCATTAGACAAATTCAAGTGAACCTTACTGGAGGTTCCTGCTCAAGTCTCTTCAATTTAACCATTAAAGAAATGCAAGGTTTTTGAGTTAAAGTGTACAACTCTCTTTCTGGAACGCCCGTCAATAATCGCCTTGAGTTTCAGAAATTCACGAATGCATGACCATCGGCCCAATTTTCAACCCATTATTCAGAGTAGAGTTTCTTTACCTTTACCTTTCTTAAATAAACAAGTAGTGAATGACCAACACGAAAACACGAATGCAAAATATTTAACGTCTGATTGAAAGCGTCTACAATGGCGCTAGCAGTCATACTTGCAGTCTGGAGTGGTTTGTTCCGAGATACGAGCTTCACCCCTTGTGGGAGGAAGTACACCTCTCACGGAGCATCCGCAATTTCAATATCCGGCTTCGATCGAAATGAAAAAGTTCCAACACCTCTTTAAATGCTGTACCCCCAGACAATATCGTCTGGCTGAGTTTCTCATAAAGTAACTTCGTGAGATTCCTCCTATTGAAGTTTTCAGAGGTGCCATTCAGAGGTATAAGGTGTCGAATGACGTAAAGAAAATATAATTGTTAACGAGAAGGTCCTTGACTCGGCGACACGTACTCCGGTCGGGGGCGTTGGAGACACTAATGGTGTCGTATCCCGCTTATTTCAAGCTCTCAAAGAAAAAATATACAACTTACCATGCCTGCTGAGCGGAATACTCCGTTCGTGAATGAAGGGGAACTTTCCGTCGGGATTTTTTTTCCCTTCGAGGACCGTCAGGGAAAAGTCCTTTGGGGAAGTCTTCTTTCGAGGAAAAAACCTTCCTGGGAAAAGACCGTTTTGAGAAAAGTCTGTTCTGGGAAAAATCTCTTCTGGGAAATATCTTTCGGGGAAGTGTCCATACTTCCAGCTTGTTGTTTTATATGTTGCTTCTTCGAATCCGAACAAGTTCAAGATTTCGTGCAACTGCGTATGTTGCTTCTGATTACTTCTCTCCGCATTGTAAGAAGCTTGCAATTGAAGATTGTAAGCAGATCGTCAACAGCCATGTCTCTTTCGAAGGTTGATAGCGTTGACATCTTACTTCAGTGAGGGCGAGTGTGTCGTAACCCGCAGGGAAGTGTTTTCATATTCACCTATCAATGTGTGACTTCTGAAGCACCCAGTAGATGTAGATCTCAGTGAGTGGGATGACGTTCAGCTTCTTCGTCTGTTGCCATGCACCATTCATCGATCCATGACTAGGACGGTTCACAGAGGCTCAAAATAAATATTGGCTCTTTCGCTTTCTTTTCTGGCTTTCTAGCTCGCTAGGAGACGAATGGAAGAGATGTTAGAAGGGGAGCATGCAACTTTGAACCCCATTTACGCCATGCCCTTCTCTGCCGACAATCTCCTCATCAACTACAAAATCAAAGTTATTCCGGAAGACGACATCATCTTTGACCAGGAGATCGGACACGGCTGCTTCGGGAAGGTCTTCAAAGGTCTGTTATTTGAGCATCGTATAGACCACTACATCTACTGAGACTTTGTCTTGGGAAACGTCTTCGTCGTCCGTCGATATGACGATTCGAAACCAAAACTAGCATTAAAATTCGAAAAATGATGAAAAGAATCCCATGATCAGCTCGAATAATGAAACGGCATTCTTTTGTAGCCCCCGCCCCCCTCCCTCCTGCCGTTGCCTTCCGTTGTGAAGTTGAATACATTCGCCTCAGCTGGAGGAGAGGCAGTCCTTATTCTCTATTATGTCCTTATTATACGTAATAGTAGGATAGATATGGTAGCAAGAAAAATCGCGTTTGGTATATTCGACGCCACAAGATATGGTAATTCGGAAGTGGGGATGTTGATGACGTTGGGGAAAGTGGGCTCAAATGGGATTCGGTATTGTCGTCGTTAACCTGGAGATCCCTCAATCTCATTTGAACCTATTTGCCTGGCACTTCCACTATCCCCGCTCCCCATCGGTCAGCTCTCGTTTCGTCGACTTTGTGAGAGTTATGGAACAGGCTGCTCTTCCCTCGCCGGGACTGAGACCGTTTGGCTTTAAACATTTCCAATTCAGTTTGTTTCCAAACCCCAGTTCGAAACGGACAGTATGAACGAAATCCTATCGGTTTCATTCGGGAAACAAAGAAAATTATGAATATCTTCTCTAAATAGCGCTTCTTGCCGTGGCGACGCAAAAATACTTTGTATTCGTTTCAAATAACTTGTTTCCTGAAGGCTAAATGCGGTCGGAAGGTATTTTTTTTTGCGAATATACTAGTAATTCAACAGTCTGATCCAATACGAAAGAGGGGAATTTCGTCCCCTCTGAATTCTTTTTCTCAGGGTACAACGAGAAGTCTTTCCAGCCAGGAAGTTCCCGTTTCCACAAATTTGATTTATTTCTCTAGTAGTAGCGATTTTCAATCGTCATTTGTGTAGGATTCACGAGGATAGCTGATTGATTGAGCGACGAGAAGTTTCTGAGTTGACTGACTTATGGGCTCAATCTCTGTCAATAAGCAGGAAGAAAAGAAGGAAGATTAGAAGATTAAGTACTACTGGCATTATAACTTGACACCAGGCCATTTTAGTCCCGAGATGACACCATTGCGAAATCCTCCCTTTACCTTGAGAATCACCCAACAATTTTCGTATTGGAAGGAAAATTGTGGACTATGTACACTCAAGCTTTGATCCTCGTCGAAATGGTTCGATAAACTCGAGATGGACCAATCACAGGCCTTAGTGGCCCATAGCTCAAGTATTGAGAAACTTTAGACCAAAAATAAAGTAGGCCCAATCCGCACCCGAAGACAATCTGAGAGCTGAGCCTAGGTTTAACCCTATATATTTTACAGGTAAGTATACCTACCGCCCCATATTTGTGCAACAGATGCTTGAAATTGCCCACATATCCTGTTTACATGACGGTTGCACTCAATTATGTGGGTTTGGCATGGTAAAATTTTGATGTCCCAGAGTCTTGCCCTATAAAGGGTTAATAAGTCGTCATGCTTACTCTGCTTCGTAATTATTGCTCTTGTGATTTTTGATCATTCATCAAGGACATAGAAATTGGCCAACTCAGGGAGGGGGTGAAGAAAGAGGAAGAGCCTTTAACCCTTTGCGGTCCAACCTCATCCCTGGGATGAAATTTATAAAACTGCAATTCGGTCCTATCTCATCCCCAGGAGGAAAAAACTTAAACGCGATCTCTCAGGTCCTATATCATCTGTAGGATGCGATGCTATGTTTATTTGACGATAATATACTATTCTTTTTCATTAGAAATAATAAAACCTCATTCGAACCTATTTCAATAAAAGAAAACTGTAAAAAAAAAATTGGACTTCTTGGCCTGCGAAACTTAAAAATAAACGATTGCAAAGGGTTAAAAGGGTTTTCACATTCTTTTGTAGCATATGGATCTCATCGGGGTGATTGCATATCATTTTGCGTGACCATTCGTGAGTTCGTGAGGCTTATGCCCTATTGATCCCATCAGACCATTACCTCAGGAGTAAAAATAACTGAACTGTAAAAAAAAAATACATCTTGCTCCAACGACAAACCATGGAGCGAAATCCTTTGAGGTCATTTACGATGCATGCGAGATGCATGCCAGCCACCCACTTAAACCCCATCAGAGGAGCACTCTCGCTTTGTCATTCACGGTGACTTTGCATTAGACTCTTAACGAATGAAACTCTAGTTCGCCCATACTCGGCCATAAAGCTACGATTATGCCAGATGTAATTGAAAAATTTCACTTAGTTTAGAAATTTTGTGACAGCAAAACTTTAAAGGATTAAAGGATCCATTTTCCAGACATTTCAGTCATCCAGCTACTTTTAAAGTCAATTGGGGAATATCTGTTTAACGAGAATGCATTTTGCTCAACCGATTAATCCTGCCCTATTAACCTTCAACAACTCAGTTCAGTAATGCGAAACTAATATTAAAAAAAGGACTAGGGGTCCTCTTCCGTAAAAGAATACGGACTTAAGGGTTTCAGAAACTTCTTTGTCTTAGTCTTCGAAGCACTGAGTTATGAAGGGATAAGACAACATCATGAGTTTTATCCTATTTCGTGATTACAACTTTGAATTCCCGATCCAGTACCACTGCAGACTCGCCTCATCGACATCTCATGAGGAAAAACTGGGATCTGAATCGCAAAGGCATGGTGCGAAAAATTTATATCTGAATCTAAAATGCGTGGTGCAGTTTGCCTTTTTTGCAATGCTTCATGACCTCGCAGAGGAGTCTAATGTCCTCTCATGTTCTTGAAGGCATGTGATGTTTGAGATAATCTTCCAGTCTGTGGAGTGCATATTGGTGAGTAACGTTTTCTTTTCCCGAGAATTGGGGTTCAGTTGTGCGTAGTGCATACAGCGTTGTTCAGCTGGGCATGTCGAACTCTGATTACTTCATGAAAAAGTCCAGATTTGCAAGATGATCAGAATATCAGTTTCAGCTACGATCGAACTTTGCATCAAATTATGATTTACGTTTATAGATTTTTGGTTCAACGTACCGGAAAATTGTGACGTGTTGGAGCTGGCCATCGATTGAAGAAGATTGCTATCCGCCTAACTTCACGACATGTTGACTCATTGTCGCAGGTAACAGTGCACATGATACCAATAGTAGTATAAAGCCCTAACTGAAAGCTGCGGACTTACGCGAAGCTCTGTGGTCACCGACGACGGGTCTGGTGACATGACGAAGTTCAAAAGATCATTGCCAGCAGTTACCATGATAACGTCCGAACCCGACCATGCCTTGTACTCTCATTGTTGGTTGTGAGCACTTCGCCCGGGAAGGCATTCGATCCGGATACGATGCTATTCTTATTGCCACAATTCGGCTCAATTGCGTCAAAATTGTAGGAATTTTTGAACTTTTGACTCAATTAATATCGCCTCCAAGCCATAAGCTTTCGATTGACACCGATAGTATTAAAATGCGACCCACCGAACGAATTTGAAGCTCACAGGAATCAGATGAAGAAGGGGTTCCGGTAATTTACGCCTCATTAGAACACTAAAGTGATACAACTTTTGAATTTCAAACCGACACGCCTTCGGTGAATAATAGTGGATGTGTTCCATCATAAAGGAAACCCATGTATGCAAATTTTCAGCGAGTTTCATATCTATAGCCTTCAAGTGAGACCCGTCGTTCCCAATTCGAACGTTCGGGTACTGGATAAATGATAGAGGATGATTTTTAGCTCTGCTGGGATGCGGATTAGCTCGTTAGGACCGACCTGAGCCGCTCATCGGGCGTGTAGGTGGGGTTGGCAATCAGGTTTCCAGTTGGGTGGGAGCGAATACTTCACGGGAGACCTCGAGGTCTAAAGCCATGAGGCCTAAGCGGGCTGCGGACTGGCCCGGTCGGTCCGACACGTTTTGCGGGTAGGGGCCCGTAAAGCTCGGTCGGCAATCGAGTTTCAGCGCGAGTGCTGGGGCGTCAAATGATAATACTTTTTTGGCATTTTCATTCAAAAAGTGTCGCCTCCTAGTCAAAAGCTTTTAATTGACGCATGACTCATAAAAATCCGTTCATCCGTCTAGGAGGAGTTTCCCGGAATGACACACTGACAGATTTTAGCCTTTTATGTATGCCACTGCCATCCAACTTGAAAAACCTCCCGCATTCAAATGTGTCTTTTCTTTTAATGATAGGCCTTTATTAGATCCCCCATCGCTATCTTCTCTCGAGCAAGTACAGCCCCCCAACGTCTCTAAACGCTTCTCGTATGGAAGTCTCCTAACCTCTTAGATGAATTGTAGCCCGCCTCTGAACCCTCTCGAGCGTCGTTAATTCGCTCTTATTGATAGGCCTCCAGAATTGAACGCAGTACTATAATTTGCGTCTCACCAATGCCGCATGCATGTATACAGCTATTATATTTAGGGTGAGCACTGCGAACGGCAAAATAAATTGGATTTTTATTAACATTTAACCATTTGGCATTTGGCAATCATTTAACCATTTTGGTAACATTTGGCCGTTGGGCAGATATCCGATTTTTTCCTCGTAGCCATCGGCCGGTTCCGGTGTCAATTGTGGCTTGGAGAAGAAATCGCCTAAAAATTCAGATAGGCTTAATTGAAAGCCATGCTATACTTATCAGTAGGCCTCCTTGAAACGATAGATATCGCTTTTGATCCTGTCCAGACTGTCGGTCTCTCGATGCTTATGTCCGCGGTTAAATTGCTACCCATTGCTGCATTTAGTGACACATACCTTGCAAAAACATAAGGTAAATGGAGATGCAATGATTTCCCGTTCTTTACTGCTACGGCTGTAACGTAATCCGATCGATATTTTTGCCTGGGAGAGGCTGGCAGGAGTGGCCCAAGTGAGACAGGAGGGCCGGCGCCGAGGCTCGCAAACACCCTCCCGTCATTTTTTTATTATTATGTCGAAATGGTGAATCGCAAACAGCATAAAGGCACTTTTCGTTGGGGTTGGTCTCTTCCTCTGAAACCCCCCCCCCCCCCCCCCCCAGGAGTAGCTACCCAGGTGTGGGGGAGGGAGGGATTGATAAAAAAGGAATGAAATTCACATCTTCAAAAAAGCGAGGTTCAGTGCTCTCCACAACCCCGGGGCGATGGAGCTTCAAATTTGCTGGAGCGATTCTGTGCTGAATGAGGAGTAAACTTGCCCAATTTCGTTCCTGTTGACGCTCTCAGACAGGAGTACGAGAAGAATGAATTCTGTTATGGGAAGGGGTTGAAGAAAGGTAATAGGCGCTACCGTGCCAATCGATGTCAGCGTCTCCGAGTACGTGCAGGTGACGTTCGTCAAAAGAGATGATCTGGATTGCGAATAGGTGTCGGATGACAAAGAAGGCTCATACGGTGCGTGCTGATAACCCGTTTCTCTTGTGGCAATTTCTTATCTCTTAAGGTAGCTTAGAAAATGGCATGGCCTGTGAGTTAGTTCTCGGGAAGAGTTGCGACATCAGAGAAACACGGTGTCAAATTACATCTTATGACTCGTTATTAGCTCTCCGACGCCTATTCACGATCTAATTCCGCTCGGTAAAGCGTGACAGGCTTCTTTTTTTTTTTAACTCAGATCATTGATTGGCAATCGTATGGCAGATACTGGCGTACGATTGGCAGTCCGGCATTCCATTGCCAAGAAAAGCTCGCTTGTTATTCCTCCTGTGTGTAGCGCTATATAATACCCAATTTAAAGTATTTTCTTCAACGTTGGTGACCTCGAAGTTAAATTGGTTTACCGGCGCTGCAGAGGTTTCAGAGGTAGACTGCTGAAATCATCAAGGAAGTGCAAGGACTTGAGTATACGAGAGGCGTTTAAATGGAATGGAATTCTAGGTTAATTCCTCATTCAAGAATTTAATTTCATTCAGAAAATCGGTAGCATGAAGCGGGGTAGGTTTTTCCACCTCGATGGTAGCAGCAAAAGCAGGGGGAACCAGTTTGGATTGGGGAAGTCCCGAGTGAGTCTCAGGTTGTGAAATCTTTTTTTATTCGTAGGGTTGCGAATACGCGGAAACCATCAGGTGATATGCAGTGGTTTTCCCTTTCATGACTAGCTTTAAGAAGAGGTTCTATGGAAAAAAAATAAACCAATGAGAAAAGAGCAATATGCAGGGCATTTCAAAAGTCACGCACTCTGGTTAGACGACCTCACCATGCATACCGATGGCCACAGTGTTGTGAAAATTTGCCTACAGACCAATTTGAGCTTGGGAAGGCAATTCACACATTTTCGTGACGTCGCAGGTGTTCAATGCGATTTTCCTTGGTCGTATAACCCCTAAGCCCGAATTCTGTTGGGGTGAGGACAGACGACCTTGTAGACCAGGATATACGTTCAAATGTTCAGAGTGTTCAAAGCGGTTCACGGTGTCGGTTGATTGCATGGTTTCCGAAATTGGCCAGGAGAACTCGTTTCCCTCAGTTTGCAATATGGAGTGGAAGAACATCTTACATGAAGACTGCTCAACCATTTTATTGGCTCGTTGAAAACTGCTTCAGATGTTACGACGATGGCTTTAAATATACCCATACTCATGTGGTGCAATAATAATGTGCATTGCCTTCTCCATGGTTAAATTGGTCTGTACGTCAATTTTCACAACGCTATGGCCATCGGTATGCTTGATTTGATTGCCTAAGCAGAGTGCGTGACTTTTGAAACGCCTGGCATATGTTTAGAGGGGTAGACCTACTCGCTTTTTTCATAACGCTCGACCTAGAGAAGGGACGTTATAATGGGTGGAAATACTTTTTGATGTCCCTGACTTAACTTCGAAGCATGAACACTTTCCACAAGTGGATGGCAGAATCACGCATATTCAAAATGGCGCCGCACACGAGGATGTTATAATATGGGCCTTCCTGCCGCAAGTTTCATAGCTAGCAGTAATTACTTAACTTCGAAGCATGAACTCTTTCCACAAGTGGATGGCAGAATCACGCATATTCAAAATGGCGCCGCACACGAGGATGTTATAATATGGGCCTTCCTGCCGCAAGTTTCATAGCTAGCAGTAATGCGAACTCTTTCGTATCGTCTTGATAGCGTTGAGGTCGTGAAGATCTTCTAAAATCAATCCAGTCGTTGCTCTTCGTGTGCATGCGTGTCAAATCCAGAAGTTTTTCTCGACAGGGAATGGATTTGCCCAAAAATTCCGTAAAATCTCAAGTTTATCCAAACAAACCTTGTACACTGAAAAAAATATTTCAACCGAAACTCTTTGTATTATTGTGATGACAGGTGAGTACCGGCCTCGAGAGGAAGAGGCGATGACAGTGGCAGTGAAGGTGTTGAAGGACCAGGTGACCAAGGAAGCAGCCAACGATTTCCTTCGCGAGGTCGCCACTGCTTCCTCCTTCGACCACAAGAATATTCTTGCTCTTACCGGCGTTGTCCTCCCAGGTATCGTCTTTTCTTTCCGTCTGCAGTAAAAGTAGTATAGGCTCCAAAAGGCTTCCCGAAATGATGAAGATATAATGAATGAAGCCTTCAACCTAAGATAGATAAAGTGCATTCAATGAGAAGTTGGTGTTGAGTTTTTGATAAATACCTTGTGCCGAATGAAGTACGAGATGGAATTATTTGAAAGTTTGTGTAGTGAAAGACGTCGATGAGTAGGCAAAAGGATTCATGTGTACTTCGAACTTGGATCTGCAAAAGGGAATCTGCATAATGGAAAATGTCAGATAATGCTTGTATCGAATGTCGGTAGAGGGCCAATACCCACTATATTTTGCACCTCGACTCGGGACCATGGGAAGACAAATTGAAAAATTGTCAAATCGATGTCGGCTGTCTAAGGGCCGATTGACACGTGCAAGTATATTCGCATGATGTTACTCGCCGAAGAGTAACACCCAATGTTTTTGTACATTCTCGGGAAAGTGGTAAACTAAATATCCTAGAAGTACCTTCGCGAGCAAAGGTCGTATACAGAAGGATATCCCATGTGAACCTTACGAAAAGATCCTATAGGATCCGATGAGATTTTTGAAACATAAAAATCTTATAGGATCCTATAGGACCTTTTCGAAAGGGCACGCTATCGTACTCGCGTGTGTATCCCAAGCCTGTGGAGAGACCCATGCAGCGCTAGTCAGCGCGTTCTTGCAATCTCGCGGCAATTGTTTGAAAATGCTCACTTGAGCATTTTCCATTTTCACGAGCAACAATGACTAAACGAATCAATCCACTGGATGTCAATGTGAGAGCTCATAGAGACATCCGAGTGGGAGATCCGAGCATTCTCGATTATTGCAGGATTATAATAATTATTCCGTCGATTCTGGATATAATGCCAGTGTCGATCTTGGCGATACGACGAGGGTGGCGCAATATCGAATCATCCACTGGTTGTTATTGGATGTCTACTAAATGAATGTCAAGCTTATCTCGCCACCTTTCGTCCCCTTCGATACCCTTTTTCGATCCATTTCGCGAGTACGAGTCATCTATCGCGATTTCGCTCTGTCACACGATCGGGTGGACAGTTATTGAGGAGTACTGTATTTATCCGAAAACCGAGCTGTACAAGGGTTGCGGCTGGTACGCAACTTGGTGAAAAATTCGGTGAAGACATAGGCGGAAAAAATAACCGTTTTCGTGTGAATTGACGAATGTCGTTGGAGGATGATAATTCGTCTATGATTGGGTTCCGGGAACGCCTATAATCAGTTTCCGGGGAGTTTTTTTCTCGGAAAAAAATATGGGGTTGCCGTGTTGACGATATATTGAAGGCTGACTATACTTCTTAGATATTTCAGTCATGTCTGCATTATATTTTGATTTCGTTATCTTAGGTAAATTAATGATGCTATGCACCGTGATTCATGAAATCGGGACCCCCTAAATATTTTATTATAACTCATATTTATTATTCCATTTACATGAAATTTTAAGTATCTGATTGGAAAGAAAGATCTCGGAATTTCATGAACAATTATTACAACCCAGTTTATTTAAAAGCAAAATCATCTCAATCATCATTGTAATCACCATTGGCCTCTATCACTTCACGCCAACGTTTATGCAAACTATGGATGCCATTCCAATAGAACTCTGGCGGCTGCGCTACGAAAAAGTTGGCCAAATCGGTTTTCAGGTCGTCTTGGTTGGCGTACTGCTTTCCACCCATGTGACGGTCCAGGGCAACGAAAAGGTGATAATCGGACGGGGCAAGGTCGGGGCTGTAGGGCGGATGCGGCAGCACCTCCCAGCACAGGTCCAGTAACTTTAGATGAGTCTGTCTAGCGGTGTGCGGCCGGGCATCGTCGTGGAGGAGGATGGTTCTCTGTCTTTCTGGGCGTGTTTCAGCCAGTTTCTGCTGCAGCCGATCGAGTTGCTGGCAGTAGTAGGCAGCAGTGATGGTGGTGTTTTGCGGCAACAGCTCAAACATGATGATGCCTTTCGAATCCCAGAAGACCGAGAGCATAATCTTTTTGGGGTGCAACTCCTGACGGGGTTCTCTTTCGGCCGATGCTCCGGCGTCCACCCACTGACGTTTTCGTCGAATGTTGGCATAGAAGGTCCACTTTTCGTCGCCTGTCACCACTGAGTCTAGCCAATCCGTTCGGCGCGAACGTGACAGAAGGGAGATGGCCATGTCTACTCGTCGCTGGCGGTCCCGATCATCCAGCTTGTGGGGTACCCAGCACCCCAACTTTGCCTTCTTGCCAAGCTCAGCCAGATGATGAAGGATAGTTGTATGGGAGACACCCAGCAAGTCCGCAAGCTCTCGCGATGTTTGCCGGTTGTTGGCCTCCAGTGCCTCCTGCAAGGCAGAGTTATCAAACTCCGAAGGACGACCGGTGCGTGGCTGGTCTTCCAGGCTTTCATTTCCTTTCTGGAAGCGACTGTACCAATCATAGGCAGTGCTCTTGGACACAGTGTCCGGGCCAAACGCGGTATTGATGTCAGCGATGGAATTGGCTGCCTTCTTCTTGATTCGGAAGTCATAAAGAAGAAGCAGGCGAACTTGCTCCTTAGTAAGAGGGTAGGGCTGGTTCATGGCTGGAGAGCACCAGGGCTGTAATAATATACGGTTGTATGCCGAAGGACACGACCTACTTATAAACACACGCAGAACATTCTAGCATGCTCTGGAAAAAAATTGTACTGGATATTCAAGAAATTCCGAGAACTTTCTTTCCAATCAGATATAACAAGCCTAATAAAGAAGCTATGTATTTCCGAAAATTATCTGAAATTTAAAGTTCACTTTAAGTCGATGATGATGATTAATGATGTCGTTATAAATCTGTTGCAACATAACCTGAACAATGGCGTTCAGTGAAGAAGACAAGCATGTTATCAAATGTTTAAGACAGAGTAAACATTATTTAGCGAAGAGATTGCTAAAAGAGCTGTGACTATCATAATGATTATTTGTTTTCGAACTATAATCGTTCATAATTCCATGTAAATGGACTAATAAATATAAGAGTTCTTATAACATTTTTAGGGGATCCCGAATTTATGAATCACGGTGGATATCAGCTTCCATTAGGCCATCACAATTAAAAGAGGGTGGTGTGGATTCACAAAGATTAAAATCGAAGTTCCTCCGCTTGCCGAACTCTATTCAACTGCGCCGCTGATCCTTTTGCAGCAAATGTACCTACGTGCAGCAGGTACTTGCTGCAGATATCCGTGCGTACATCTTTTGCAAAAGCTCAAGAGTCTCAGTGAACGATTTTCAGAGCTTCATCTTTGCCTTTTGCTCCAGCGCTGGCATTCCAGTAAAATCAGCCGAAAGTTATTGTCCATAGCAATTTCATTTTATCACCAACAGAGTTCCTTAAACGAAAGACCACTGACATTTTTACCATGAGTCGCAAAGTGAACATAGTTGAGGCGTGCAGAGTGGCCAACAATTTCGACGAGTGTTATTTGAGCTGCAGTGAAAGTTCCGTTCCTTTTTGATCAGTCTAGTATGTCAACGCTGTCCCCTTCCATCCAAGGTCAAAGGTCAAACATACGATTTATGATTGGTGTCCCATTATCTGTTACGGTTATTAGGTTGACAGTCACTGATTCACTTCGCACAAATGCTAACAACTGACTTTAGGACATCTGAGCAAGTGTCATGCAAAATGGCACGACTTTCCTACTGAGCATTTTTGAGGTGTGCTTCAAAATGCACCCAACATTGAGCAAGGAAATGCGTTTCATGCAGACTTCCTCGAATCACTCGTCCATTAAGTAACAGCAAAAAAATCAATCCTGCCAAGTGAGAGCATAAAAAAACAGAGGAAATTCGAAATGAAAGAGACTGCGATGAAATGCTAGGGTTGAGAAGGCAAGTAGCGCTGAATGAGAGCATATCGTGACCTCATACGTCCTGCCATCAATGGAAAGCCATATTTGAAGACTCCAGGAGTGAGAGAGGCTTTTGCTTCTGGGAATGGGTTCTGCGTGGATGGAAATGCAGTTACAGGCTAATCGGGCCCATCGGGCAAGGCCAATGGGAAGACTCTTCTCTAACTCCATGCATATTAGGGTTTTTGACCGATACTTGGCAATGGAAAACACTCGAGAATCGCAATTACTAGTTTCATTTCGGGTGCATCTTGAAGCACATCTCGAAAATGCTCTGCAAGAAGGTCGTGCCATTTAGCACGAGACTTACCCAGGAGGTGTTTTAAATTCGTTAGTTTCCGCTAGATAGCCTCTCTCAACCGCACGAATGTATTGATTTCGCATCTCTTAAGTAAAGAGTGTGGTAATTATGGACATTTCATTATAACCCAGAAAATTGCCACCTTGCGACAACTTGAGAAACGAACGAATATTGACTAAACTGTTGGTTAGTGGTGACACTAAGCTCCCTCCTTCCACTCCAGGGACACCCCCCCCCCCCCCTTCCCCATCATAATGAAGATGTCTCAGACTGTAAATCCCAGACCCTCGAATTTTTACTTCATTTCCACCTATAGCGAGTTCGACACCACCATTCATTGTTTCTCAAACCATGATCTTCCAATGATTGTAATACTGGAACTGGTTAGTTCGCGAATATTTTCACAGAGGGAATTTTTTTAATGTGGAAAGAAGTAGCTGTCACAACGGCTCCAGTGATAATCCTTTAGGGGTAAGTAGTGTGTATAAAAACAGGAGGTGGATGCGACTTTCCAGAGAAAACTTTCTCTTGGTTAATGTCTTATTTCGTTCATCAACTTTTTTTCATCGGATTTCAAGGGAATTCTGATGTATAACAAATTGAACTTCTGCAGAGAATGGCTTGCCGAGGATGGTGTTTAAATTCATGCCCATGGGGGACCTTGCCGAGTTTCTCCGATCCTGTTCGCCCTATCTGAAGATGTGCACGTTCAACAACCGCAATGAGGAGACGCTGAGCCGTGTGAGAGTTATTACTGTCGTCTCGAAGCCATGATCTCGTCTAACATTCAGTAACTACACTAAATTTAGCTGATATTGGTTCGTTCGAATGATTTTTTTTCTTCGATTTTCATTTAGGAGCAGCTGCATAATTTCAGTCACCAAATCTCGGAAGGGATGGAGTACCTGTCGGGAAAGCACTTTGTGCATCGAGACCTGGCATGTCGGAATTGCGTCGTGGACGAAGGTCTCGTCGTGAAGATCTCAGACTTCGGTCTCGCCAGAGACATCTATACATGTGATTACTACAAGGTTTGCTTCTCCTCCTCTTTCCTATTGATCCTTATCCTCGCGTGGAGTGATGACTGGTGGGTAATTGTTGTAGGTGGAAGGGAATCGGTTGCTCCCAGTGAGATGGATGGCACCCGAGAGCATCATGTATGGGAAATTCACCCTCAAGTCCGACGTCTGGTCTTACGGTGTCCTCCTTTGGGAAATCTTCTCCTACGGCAAACAACCTTACTACGGACGCACGAACGAGGAGGTCTCTTCGAGTTTTCCTTTAATATTTTTTCATGATGAAAGAATCGAGTTTTCGCTGAACCATGAAAATGTCGGCTCATTAAAGCTGACGGTGCTCCGGTAGGCACTTCTATGCTCAACGATTTCATCTCAAATGTTCTGCCTTGCTACCGTATAATGCAATGACGCGGTAGTGATGTAATAATATAATGCACTTATGCGATGATGATATTACCAAATAATGCAATGATACGGTGTGAGACTTGACAGGGGACTGATGCAATTGTGCTCTTTGCATCCCCAGGAGAGAGGATCTGATTCCTAGATTATCAAATTATATCTTTCAGCGTGGCTTCCCCAAATCGACCGATCACACCACTCAATGTAGCATCGTCTACCCCAACTCATGCATTAAAGTCCCCCATTAGCACAACGCGGTCGCCGTTCGGAATCCTTTCTAAGGTTCCATCCACCTCCTCCAAAAACGCATCGTCATCTGGCTCGCTGTTCGGCCCGTAGACCTGAACGACGGCCAAGACTCCAACTTGCTCCAGTCTGAGGCGGATCAGAGCGACACGCTCGCTGACTGGGTTACATTCGATGGCGCTTTCGGCCAGTTGGGGACTAATGAGTATCCCCACTCTAGCCTGAGCAAACAGGTCGAGTCGATTCCGCTCCAGTAGAGGGTCCATCCGTGGGCTAGAGAAATGGAACCGGTGCCTTTCCTCTTGGTTGAGGCTATGCCAACTACATCTAGTCTTCTCCTCCTAGTCGCCTCCACGAGTTCAGGCTCCTTACCGCCGAGTGTTAGCACGTTCCAAGTCCCGATGTTCAGAGTCCGTTGCCAAGGTCGTTTACCGTTCGAGTCCGCTCCTGGTCTGCCCTTGGGACATCGTGCCAAGAGTACGCTATGGCCGGTGGCAAGCCGACCGATAGACCTGGATGTAGCATGACGGGGTCCGCCGCACTCAGGGACATCGGACTGCCCGGCCCCAGTAGCCAACTTATCAATAGTCACCCTGGGCGTACAGTGACTATCGCAGTCCTGATTATCTTGGGCGACGACTGAGCCAGTATGGAGAACCCGAGCCGAACTCATCACGCTGGATTTGATTCGTCTTGGT